ATTAATATATAAATATATGAGCTTTAATATATAGATATATCTATTATATATACTTATAAACATATATAAGTGTGTGTGTATATATAATCCATGATTTATAAAAAAAGCTTAATTAGGAAGTAGCTTTATTTTTGGTACCATACAAAACTACAACACAAAATTGCACTACAATAAGAAACAGGCCTTAAAGCTTTTCAAACAAATATTCTATAGACAGTAACTAGAAAAACAAGTCTACACCGAATAAAACATACTATTCAATGTATTTGTACATTCATTGAGAAAATTTTTACGAAGCAGTATTTCACCAATGCCCAATTACAAACACAAAAGACATAAAACCTTGCTAAACCAGAAGTTTGTCTTTTCTAAGAGGTTTTTGCTTTTTCCAACCCCTTGTAGTTCCAACTGTTTTTTTTCTTGCAGAGTATTATGGTTAGTATTCAGTATTTAACTGTCTTAAAATTTTAAAAAAGTGGACCTCAAAAATATGACTGATATCATCTTCCCTTATGATTGTCTCCCTGGCTTTTTGTGGCAAGGCACATTCAGGCTTACGATCTCCAGTGTGTGCCTTTAGAACACAAGTTACTTCTTTCTGTAGATTCTCTTAAGTTTTGTCTTAAGAGATTTCTTAAAATGTTAAGATTTCTCTTAATGTTTTTTGGCACTACCATGTTACTGACAGCCATCCAGTTTTGATTTCATTTCTAACAGAGAAGTGCAAACCCCCAGCCTTTACAGATTACTACTTACTTTCAGGTTTTGAATCCACTACTGCATGATGCATCTCTTTCAGCTGGAGCTGTGCTCTTTGCAGTCTCTGCTCTGCATGGAACAACTTTTGAGAGAGAATTGGACACATACAAGCTCATTCCTTTGAAATGCATATTCAAACAACTAAACCAAAAGAGTATCAAAAAGAATCCCAAATATAAAAAATGGTAGCTGTAAGCATCTGGTGATTATCTGTTTCACAAGGGAACATGCCAAAACAAATTTTCAACAAAAATTGGCCCAGGTTTACTTGATATTCTCTAGTGTTAATTAATTAAGGAAAGTATTCTTGTTCTCCCAAGTGATATTTTCTCTATGGCAGAAATTCATTAAACAATTTTCAACCAAAAATATGAGTGGCTTGAGCATCAGAACAACAAAAAAAAGACAGTAAGAATCAGGACTGCAGCAGATAACTATCCTTACACTGCAGTCCTTCAATGCAGCTGAGTTGTCACAGCAATCCACTGTCCAACTTGAGAGCACACTGGAAAGCTTGTTGCCAAACAACACCCAGTTAATTAGCATTTTTGTGATTTAGAGAGATGTGTACTAAGAACTGGAATTGGCTGGACATCACATTCATTTTACTTGTGATCTCACTCAGGTTCAAGGAAAGACCCAAGAGCTTGAAAGCCTGCTGATTCACATTGATTCCACATGCAGATATAGACTGCAATACTAGAAATCTGGGGTTTTTTCCCCTTTTAATACAGTGTTGAAGTTCACGTTACAGAATTTGGTGAGATGATACAACAATATGGCACTGGATTTTATTAAAGTATCTTGTTTTGACAACATAGCTCAGGAATAAAACCCATCCTTATATTCAGACGTCAACTGCTTCCAGCGCTTCCTAGGACATAATCTTTGTCAAACTTGGGGACCAAAATCGCAAGGTCACTCCCCCCACCCAGTGAAAAGCTGAGGTACTTGCTGTGTTACTCAGCCCCTGAAATCTTAAGTGCAGAAGCACAGGGATATAAATCAAACTAAGGAAACATTTGCTCACTACCATAAATATAAAGAATTCTCTTTGGGTGCTACAACAGTAAGTCATGGAACATTTCCTGGGACTGCTACATGATGATGTCAGCGGCAGCTGAGTCAGCCAAGTACCTTGAATGAGGTGTTTAAAACCTGCAGGGTCAAGCCTCTTCCCTCAAAATGTACATAAATATTTCTATTTTAAATGGGATTTAATTTTCTGATGTTGGGAGAAACTCTGTACTGTTGTTCCTGATGTACGTTTTAAAATGCATGATTCCCAAAACAAAAAACAACTATTTATTTTAATAGGTATGCTTTTATGTCAGTACCTGATTTTTTTGTTCTTGTTTCTGTTGTGCCAAAGATTCTTCTCTCTCTTTTTCTAAGCGAAGCTGTCTTGCTATTTCAAGCATACGTTGATGATTTTGTACTGTCTCCACCTACAGCAAGTGGTTAAATAGTGCATGTTACTGTCAGATAGTTGAGAAATACATTAAAGAGATCATATGTCTCACAAGCCCACTTAGCACTTCCTTTCCATACATGTTACTACTCAGAAATGACAGCAAAGTACTGGACTCAAGATTCTTAAAAGTTCTGGACTAACGCCTAGGGAGATTCCTTGTGGGTCAATTAGTTATTCGATTCCCTCCTAGACATACAGTATGTTTATCTTAATCCTTGTTTGCATTCCAAAATCAGAGTTGCAAGCCAAGGATTATGACACTGAAATGTAACAGCGTTACTTCTCTTATTACCCTCTTCTTAAGACGCTCTACTCTTTTGATGAGTTGATCTTTCTCCTCTTCCATTGCACTGATGTCCTAAAAAGTAGAAAAAATGCATAAAGAAATGTTAATTTATTTACAATATAATATGGATTGGACTAAATTCTGTTCAAATTAATATGAAAATCAGAATTCTTCTCTGAATACACTGAAGCAGTTCTAGTTTTATTGATCTATGGTCAGAACATCCAGGATTCCAATCTCTCTTTTCTTTTTTACTTCTCCCACAGTTCCCACTCTCTTTATGCTAACATTCCTTCATCCTTGAGTATTAGTGTGAACATTTAAAATAAAAGCAGGTGGATTTCTCTAAAATAAAACCAAATAAACAGAAACAACCAAGCAAAAATCAGCATGAATTCAACATCTGATGCAATCTAACACAGGTTCTTAATGTTACCACCATTACCCACTTCCTGGCAGACAATTTTGCATGAAGTTGCATACGAGTGATGTTTGCTGCCACTTTTTGTATTAAAATAGTGTTAAAAGAAACACCTTCTAGTGCTAAAACATGTATCCGATTATTATTCTCCTTTAATCCTATCTTACAACAGCAGGATTCCAGAGATTGATCGTTATGAGAGAAAGGGAAATAAATTCTCCAAATTTAGACCTTATCTCAACATTTGCTTAACTTGTCCATATGTCTTACTGGAAAGCCGCACTCGCTGAAATATTTTGCTGAAACAGGGCAAATATCTTTACTTAACATCTTAGCCGCACAGGATAATCATTTTTGTTGACTTAAGCTCTTAAGTCTTTCAACACCCTCTGAAATTATTACCCTACATCAGTAAAGCAAAAGGCTTTCTACCAGTTTGCATTCACAGGAAAGAGAATTGTAATATTTGAAAATCATGCTGAACAGAGTCTTGGCAGCCTTGTTTCCCAATCTGCTTCAGAAAGCTCAGTTCTAAGCATAAGCGAGGACTTTCTAATCTGTTTGCCAACAGAGAACAGTTTCAAAAAGGCAGCTGCAGTGCCTACCAGCTCTGACCTCTACAACTTATAGACCGCAGTGAGTCCACAAAACCAACAAGAATAGACATTCAAAAAAAATCTAAACAAAAGCTGTGCAATTTTGTCAGGTTTTTTTACCCTTCTTATTTCTGCAGTAGATAAACCAGATGTTTTGAGCTGCTCGCACTCCTTATGTAGGTTTTTGAATGCTTCCATCAGTTCTTCATACTATAAAATGAAATAAAAACCATGCAGAATGAGCTCTATCTAAGGATTTTCAGATCAACATGTTGCTTTACTACTAAGACAGTAAATATAGAAATAGAAATATGGTGAGAACAAGAATTAAAGGCATTTTTTCATCACAAAAGCTTGACAACTTATAAAGCAAAATTAAAAAATCACAGTGAATTATCTTCCATTTGAAGGTACACTCGGAAGTTTCACAACTTCTTCAGTATTTTCACCTCTTCCCTTGTAATACATAGTGTATTTTCAAAACAGGAAGATGTTATCTGAAAGGGACAATGCTATATTCACAAATTATTCTTACTACGAATCTGTGTATATCACATACGTAAATTTATCAGCCAAAAAGGAAGAGCTTGATCTAACAACATGCTTGATCGAAGCAATGGGGCTTGAATTTATAGAGTACTGAGCTTTAATCCAGCAAAGCAAGGTCCAAGAGCACACCTGACTTATGTGAGAAATAGTTTTGACACACTGCATAATCATGCCCTCAGTATAATATGGAGATGGATATATGTAGTTCTGTAGTTAGAAAGAAGTAGACAGTGTGCTACTTCCACACCAGTACGTTGCCCACCAGTAATCTTAAACTGAGAGGCAGTGTGAAAGTCTGTGTGGGTAGAGAAATAACAGGGGACAGAAAGAGTTTAGAAATATGGATAGGAAATAAATTTAGATACAACTTGCAGAAATGCAAGCTGAGATATAAGGAAAGATAATCTCCACAGAAACAGCCATTCAATAAGATGGAAAAATCTAAAAAGAGAACATCAAGTCATTTTTTACTTCCTGGAACGAGCAATTGATATGAATGTTGAACACAAAATGGCAACGGCAAAGGCCAGTTCAAACAAAGGCATCACATCCCTGAGCAGTGAAGCAGCAATTCCATTTTATAAAACCCTGGGGAACCGGCATCTAGAATGCTCTGTTCATTTCTGGTTGTTTCAATTTCAGGCACACACTGACAAGCTGGAATGAATTAAAAAAAAAGGCAATAAAATGGCTACTGAGAAGAAGATAAAATAATAGAGAAAGAGCTTGATTAAATGGCAAATAAAGGTATGATAAGGCATGCACACGCTGGACAATGAAGAATGAGTTACAAAAAAGTAGCAGTAAAAACGCAACTGGCCTGCATTATATCACTTAATGCATTATAGAAATACTTCAACAAATAATGAAATAGCAGGTAGTCTCTGAGCAACTGCATTCACGATTGCTGATGTCCAACAGCTTTCCTTTGTGTGGATTCTCTACCTCTTTCAAAAGGGGAGCTTAGTAAGTCTTTTCCTTATTGGGACACAAAATTTCAAGACTAATGGTAAGATTCAAACAAGGGTATAGCACAGTTTGCCAGATCATAACGAAGGGAAGGTTTCTCACTTTCACCGAATAAAAGCTGCAGCTACCCCATGTGTACCGAAATAAGGGACACGCTCAAATGACCAAAGAACACCCAGGTTCCTACAGCAGAAAGAAAGAGTCCTGGCACCCGAGGGCAACTCACTGAAGACTGGACAACTAGATTTATGCCTGAAGTTGCTAACTTTTTAAATTATATCCTGCAGCCAATCTGATGTGCAAATCACAATACAGTTGAGAAGGTGGCAAGTACTATGAGTATCTTGTTTAAATAATTTACAAAAGTACATTTGAGCTTGATTCTATACACCCATAAAACTTGACCACGTTCTAAGATTTCCAGACTCTTATGTTTGAAATGTTCCTCTTAAAATACACTACTGTAAGCCTGTCTATCTGAATACTTTAGGCTAAATTCTTTAATACAGTAGTGTCTAAATACTTGCATGGTAATGTTAAATTATATTAAGGCACTATATTACCCCAGCTTCTGTTTTGAATTAATCAGCAGGGCATTAGTTTAATAAGACCGTTATATTACTGTAATCCCAAAAAGGAATACATCTTACATAATGGAAATACTGGAGTTGGATATTTATACATATTAAGACTGTGACATACTGAAAAAACACACAATCTGCATTCCTTTCTCTCTTTGCTACTTCTGCTTAGTTATTCCAAGTTATAAATCCAATATTGTTAGTGGTAACAAAAAAATAAAATGGCTTAGTCAAGCTTCAGTCAGACTATATGGCTTTGCTGGTGCACAGTTAATAAATTGAGTTACCTGTTACAAACACTGAAAAACACTGATTTTGCAAGTCTCTATACATAACAAAAGGCACAGAAAACTGGATAAAAATTAGGTAAATATGTACCTCAGATAATACAGATCTAAAAACATAACTTTGGTTCACTTTAAGCTTTACATTTCAAACCCACCCACTCTGACTATCTAAAATCAACATTTAATGCTCACAAAAGAAGTGGGAAGATAATGAGTAGGAATGTCAGCCTGGGAAAAAGACATTTTTTACTTATTCACAAAGAAATAAATGGTTGAAGCAGAAGTGGGATAAGGCTAATACAAACATTAGGCACTAAATACTATGTAATCAATTGACTATTAGGAGACATTGGCTTTTGGTCATAACATTTTCTGGACTAGTTTGAAGCGGTAATTTATAAAGTTAAAAATATCCATGTTGTAGTTCATAGGAAAAAAAAAGGTGTTTAAAAATTAAGAAATAAAAATCTGTCCTGGCCAGCGTGGCTCTGAACATTAGTACCCAGTACTTACGGGCTTAAAACCTTTTAATTCAATGTTACCTATTAATATACAATTTCAGGGTTATTGGAAGAAAGGTGGTCAAGAGATATATTTCTTATTGAGAATCTTTGCTCACCCTTGATTCCAACAAACTCTTAACATAACTCACTTGAACACGTATCTCAAACAGTAACTCCCCGATTCTGATTCATTTATTAAAGTTGGCACTTTAATTAATTAATGTAAAATGTTGGCATTCATGAAAAATGGTACCTGTTTGTTGATGTCAGCCACAGTATCATCCTGTAGGAACTCCGCTGGCACTTCCAATTTCACTAAGAAACGTGCCAGGTAAGCTCTTTTCTTGAGTTCATTGGTCCTCTGAAGAAGCCAATGTAAGACAGGATGAATTACAGGTTTGCTTCCAGTAACTAACCCTTGGCGAAATGCACTCCTACACGAAAACCACAAAAAGAAAATACCAATAAATCTCAAACTAAAGAACACTGGCTTGGAACAAACAATTTGCAATATTTTGACATTCCCTCTCCACTTGCCTAATGATTTTCTTAATGCTGTTAAAAGAGAAAACACTCATGATGCCAGTTTGCTATTTATGATGCCGATTCTGCTACCTCGAGACAGATAAAAACCCCATAACACATCAAAAGGCTAAAGCCAGCAACAACGACTCTTCCTTTTCTGCGATATTCTTGGGGAATAAAGGCACTGTGGGAAGAGCCTGTGTTTCCTGGGTTAGAATCTGGCGCAGGAGGGTGCAATCCAGCCTCGGGCGGCTGGTCTGAAAGGGATGGGGAAGGGACTGACCCCGCCAGTCATGCGGCACCCTCTCCTGGCTGGCTCCGCAACAGCAGCTGCTGCGGCAGGGCCCGAGGGGCTGCCTACACCTGTAGGAGCCTTCTGCTGGCATCCCCTATACCATACCCTATAGAGACAAGGGAGGAGCCGTCTTCAAGGCGTTACACATACCCACTGGGATAGTCGAGGTCAAAAATACACACAACTACTGAATTAAAGGTCGTTACTGTATAAGCTGTTTTACCGTGATTCGTAGACCAAAAGATACTTACAAGTCTGATATACTTCCTGGAGGTTTGTACTTAAGGATACCAAGAAGACTCAACATTCTTTTAGCTGTTTGTTCCGGCAGCTCCTCTCTAATGTCAACAGCATGCTAAATAGTTTTAAAAAAAAATTAATTATCCACTGTTTGTTCAAGCATGTTAATTAACTAGGAACACTAAAAGAATTTACTTTATCCATTTATCACACAATATGTCAATTGAGAGAGATGCTCCATACAGAACATCCCTTTTATCACGAAACTTCAATTCTCTTCTAACGGATTTTTCTCCAACATAGGTATTCAGGTAAATTTATTCTAGGTATACATTTTCCCTGCTCATGGGACCTCACCTATGCAGACAAACTGATTACTTCCACCAAGGAAGTCAGATATCCCAGCAGACCAAGACAACGTAGCTGCACCCCAGATGTATGAACGATCCCTTCTGATCTTACACACACTTTTGGTAGCCTCAAAGGAGAGGGATTCAATATCTATTGCAACTGCTAAGTCATGAGGTTTGGTTCTTGATCAGTTCCCGCCCTGTGTATGTCTGCAAGACACAGCCTGACTTTTGACTTAAGAACACAGCGGTTATCAGTATGAAGCAAGTTAAGATCTGTGTCCTGATTCCCAAGGAAAAATATACAGTCATCAGTCTCTGGGGGACAGGGATCCAGTATCCCTGGCCCAAGAAACATTTTCTGGTTTGCCAAAAACACATAGATGTATAGACAGAAAGGATTCTTGCTAGGCACATCTCTTTCCAGGAAGATTGATACAAGCTATTTTGATAAACCAAACATGCCGCAAGATTATACAGAGCCAGACCTAAATAAAAGCAAATTTCTATGTCAAGCCCATTTAAGATGTTCGCAATTACACAGGTCTGAGCACCTCTGATTGCCTTCCTTACCTTTGGGTCAATCTCCCCCAGAACATCATTGAGCAGCTGCAACAGCTGCATTGACTCTAAGGAGTCAAACGTGATTAAATTGTAGTTCTTCCTGAAGGGCTCCTGATTGAGCTTCTCAACAATGAACTGGATTTGATCACTCATAATCGTGTCCTGGAAAAAAACCTCTGCAGAAAAGACAGAAAAGATGCCACGAGGCCTAGGCGGGGAGAGGGAGCTGGGGGCTGCCGGGAGGGCGGGTGGAGGCACCGCCTCAGCGAGGCCCACGGCAGCCC